TAATAATAACAATAATAATGATAATAATGATAATAATAATGATAATAATAATAATGATGAATATATTTTACAATCTGATCTTCATGCTATTACTAATTGGTGTGTGAGAAATAAAATGTTACTAAATATTGATAAATGTATGGTGATGCATCTGACTAGATCCAGAAATCGTCTTGAACGGGCTAGTGATTATTTTATTGGAAATGTTAGACTTCCGGTCACCAGTTCTGTAAAGTATCTTGGCATTAACTTGAACAGTAAACTTACTTGGGATGAACATGTCCAATTAGGTCTAAAAGCAACCGCATGTTAGGTTTTGTGAGACGTATCGTTAAATGTCACGATAAAGATATAATTTTGAGGTTGTACGTAGCTGTAGTTAGGCCTTTTATAGATTACGGTATTTCTGCCTGGATTCCATTCTATAAAAAAGATATTGCTACTCTTGAGTCCGTTCAAAGACGAGTTACGCGTATCTGCTTTCCGAGATCCACAGGCAGTATCCCGTACTCTGAACGTTTAAAGCGTCTTAATCTCATTTCCATTAGTAATCGTATTGACTATTTTTGTATTAATTTTGTAGCCAAATGTTTATATAACATGTATGATTTGGATGTTTTTAAATACATTTCTGTAAATTCCAGACACGCTGACCATCTTAAGTTACGTAATAATTTCATCGCTCGGACTGACAGCCTTCATTATTCTGTTTTTAATTTGTTTGTCAGACTTTTCAGAGGCCTGCCTGTGGATCTCGGTGATCAATCATTATTAACTAATTATAATATTTTAAATATAACTTAAAAAAATACCTTACTGACCTAGCCTAATGTTTTAAATAAAATAAAATGCAATTTTTACCAATATTTTATCTCAATTTTACTGTTTTAAAAATACTTAAAGGATTGGAATTTTTATATATTTAAATTTTAATAATGCAATGTAACTTTTTATACTGACTTTTAAATTTTAACTTTCATGTTACATCTTTGTGTATGGTATTTCTTTGTGGAGAGCCTCTCGACTGTTATTTTATTTATAACATTTAGGCAATCCTGCCTCATTGATTTACCTTTGTTTGTGCAATGTCTTTGTTTGTAATTTTTGTAATTTTAACTGAGGCGAAATAAATGATATGATATGATATAAGGTTGACTTGCGGAACACAAATTTATTAAATATAACATAATCAAACAGATATTTCGATAGCTCCTGTTATTTTTATCAACGTTAAGTGAGGAAACTTGGGAGATCTAACATATAAAATAATAAGAAATGGTATTAACCAATCAGAACCAAGTTAAATACTACAATCACCACAAAATATTATTTTGTGGTCCAATCTGATTGTATATTCTTTGGGTTAACGACCCTCATTCACAATTTTACAACATTAAAATGGTACAGTACTACATAGTCTACCTGGGTGTCTATAAAAAAATATTTATATTTGATCGCAACACAATACCAATTATTATTCAGAATATTTATATATAAAGAGACATTCTACCAAATCAGCAGTGCCGCAACTTAGGCTAACATGAGAACACGTCCAGTCGCCGCAAAGTCATTATACAGTACCGGTACTTCAGTTAGCCGTGGAGGACGGACGTACCACTTTGGAACGTTTTGAAGGGTAAGTATCGTTGGTTATTTAAGGTTTTAGGATATATTAAGGATGTCGTTTTGTAGGTATATATATAGGCCTATATATGTGTGTGTATATATCGTTATATGTATGTAAATAAATGTATATAATTAGGTATCATTATTCCGTTTAGCCACTATGACCTATGCGTGGGCATGTTATTAGGAGGCTGCATTGTTTAGTCTCCTATTCAGTGACTATATACAAGTGTTGTTTTGAGGCCTGACTTGGAATGGGAAGGTAAGGTGTTTCCCTATTATTTTACTAGCATTTTTTCATGTGTTGGAAATGTCGGTCACACTTATATCGTATTTATATAACATTAATCGGGAGAGTAAGGTTTTGTCTTCGAAACGTACTGAATTGAATGAATTCTCTTATACAGTGACTATAACAAACAAATGTTTGGTTTGAGGCCTCACTTGGAAAGGGAAAGTAAGGTATTTGTTTCCCTATTATTTTATTACTAGAAACTGTTTTAAGTGTTGTACTGTCGTTAACACTTGTATCGTATTTATATAACATTAATCGGGAGAGTAAGGTTTTGTCTCCGAACCGTACTGCAATGAATCCTGAACCTGTTTTTGTCTGTGGCGCCTTTTTGACGTCACGTACAGGCGATCGCTAGATTGGTATGTATGTTAATGGATTTCGGCTATTGTATTGTTCGTAACACTAGGTGGAAAGGGAAAAGTACATGGTATGATGGGTGCACAGGTTTTTGCAAATATGTAACTGTACCTCGTTGAAAAATATAGAGCACTTTCTATTAGAAGGCCCACAATTTTATAATATTAGGGCTAATATCTTCCATGAAATTAAAATTGCTCTATTTAAAAATAATTTACATGAATATTGGGAAAATTTCTCCAATGGTTCACCAGATCTAAAAATTCATTATTTGCTTGATGATCTTTTCTCAATAAATTCCACTCTTGGCTTAATTTTTGATACATGTATTAAAGAATATCTAATAGATGCATGGGAAAAACAAACACATGTTTTAAATGACCCTGCTAATAATGTTAATAGCTTATAGGTGTTTCCCCCCCCCCTTTTTTTTCCTCTTGATTTAATGATTTTATGAACAGACATTGACTATACTTCTGTTGTGTTTTTGATATGTATGCTTATACATCAATTTCACATTGCATTTATTATATTATGTGCTTGTTTTTATTTATTTATCTATTTTTATTTACTTTATTTTATTATTACTTTTTTTTCTTTTTTTTTTCTTTTTTTCCCCTTTTAGTTAAGATTTTAAACTTTAGAATAATATTATTTTAATTGTATTTGGATTTTTCATTACTATTGTCTCTTTTTTTTAAATTAATTTTATCCTTACTTGTAACTTTTGTGAGAGTGTTCCTCTGCTTTGAAAGAGAGAGCCAATAAATTATTATTAAACACAGTACGGTAATTGTGCACTTGATTACAGACTTAAATATGTCCGGCCTTTATCTTATATAGAGATTGTCAACAACAAAGGTGTGGTGTATTCCTTATCTTTAAAAATAAAATAATTATATTTGAGCGCAACACAATACCAATTATTATTCAGAATATTTATATATAAAGAGACATTTAATAGCGTTTGCAGGTGATTGCATTGCAGATTCTATGCAGGTGCCCTGTTATTTATATTTTACTGTAGTTACAACTATTCTGTAATTACCAGAAAAAAAAATCACAATGTTAATAATACAATGATTAATTTTTAATCTGATTGAAAGCCTACATTTAACAACTCTTACTTGTGACGTCAACAATTATAGTGGCGGCTCACAGTGAGCACTTTGTGACATCAAAGAGGTACAGTATACAATACATATTTTATACCTCCTTGTATTACAGTTATACCCATCCAGTGTTGGGCAATTCACAAAATTTATATTTTAAACATGGAGGAATTAATGAGGGCTTACTACAAAATTATGAGCGTGTGAGTGGAAAGATGATGAAGTACGATGAAGACAATGTGGCACTATATTTTAAGAGTATTAATATTCAAAGGATAATGAGGAATATTATTTCTATGTAGGCTACCTACAAAAATAATGCCGGGTCGGTCTTATTAGCATCATCGGTTAAAAGGCATTAGTTCGTGTGGTATTAAGCCAGAGTGCGCCATTGCTCAATGCCTCACAGAGCCGTAGATAGAGAGAGTTTGGCCAACTTGGCGCATGGACGCCATGTCGTTACCAAACAGCCCTGGCGCATGCGCGCGTATAGCTTTAATGTTTTGTTTTGGTGACAACATGGCCGGTAGTCCACCGGAAATACGGATTTGACTGGACAAAATTGCAACAAAACGTTTTATGATCTAAATATAAACCTAATTATATGTAAAACAACATACTAAAAGTTTACCAAAGTATAACAGTTAGACCGCATGTCATGCATGCATAATAATATGCCAAATAAATATTAATAAAATTTCAGTTCCTTAACCTTTTTATTTGTCAATTATAATTGTTGGACATCAACCATCTATAATTTCCATTTTTTACTTGCCTGCCTACCTC